TTTTGTTTACATACCTGAAACGGGTCTCCTGCGGAAAACAAAACAGAGGACGATACAGAGGCAGAGGAAGCCTGATATGACACTGAAGACGATTACTGTAGTCAAGTTGTTTTCATTTTCAGAGCCTGCAGCTTCACCTTCGGAAAAAAGTACAAGGGAAAGTGTTATATCGATGACAAATGCGAGATAACTAGTAGAGTAATACTTGGCCTTCATTGAATAAGTGTCTTTGCCATGCTTATATGAGTCAACGTCCTCAACCATTCACTGGCTGTGGGGAGTTAAAGTAAACCGCGACGACGGCAACAACGAGAAAATCAATGTAATGAGCAGAGCAATGTCTGTGAACAAATCTAAGTAATGCATATCTTGTAAGAGAAATATTTATCAACATTTACCTCTCACTCGCAACTTGTACCAGGCATCTACTGGCCCACAACCAGAGAAACTAGCAATGCATCTGTAAATCCCTCTGTCTGTAGTAGATACTTTTTTGATTACATAGTTGAAATGATGCTCTTTTAAATGCTGATTAGAGCGAGAGAAATTAGCGGTCTCCAGGGTTTGCTTGCTCTCTTCTCGAATCCACTTTGCAGCAATGAAAACCCCTGTGTCTTGAATCTTGCACTGTAAATTCACTCTATCGTCAACGGCAAATGTAAAGTTGTCTGTTGCAATGTTAACATGCGGTCTATCTTTGTCTGGGTCTAGATGTAAACCAAATAAACATTAGACATCTTCATATTGAGCACTAGTTCCATAGGGTGTACAATAGACCATCTTCGTATTCTCGGTATTGGACTGGAACTAGCTTGAAATGGAGGCTCATGCGGAGAAATATCATTAAAAAGAGATTAATGTCATTTGCATTTGAAAAGATTCCTCACATTCGCCTCATTTGCAAGCAAGTTCCAGTCCAATCCCGAAAAAAACGGATATTGTCTATTATGGAAACAGGCTAGTAGCGAGTCGTAGGTTCATTGAATACATAAGGTTGTTCCTGGGATATTTTGACGGGGCGCTCACCATATATAATGCACTATTCGGGACGTGTCGCCCAAAAGAAGTACATTTTTCAGGTCGGAGGCTAATAAAGAGGCAGTGATTCCATCATATTGCGGAAGATTATTTAACTACAAAAGGTTATCCCAAGTCGGGCTGATAATATATATAAAATATATTATTAGAAAGGTTACTTTTTAAATTCCAAATGGAAAGGAAGAGATGTAGCTAAATCTGAAGAGTACAAAGTCCAGCCGAGAGAAACAGTCATCTTGAGTGGAGTAAAGAAGCGTTGAGGACAGAAAAAAAGATGACAAATAAAGCTGCAACTCGCATTTGTAGGTTATGAAAAAGTCAAGCAAAGAATAAAGGAGATGCAAAAGGAGAAAAGATCGATTAGTAAAAACATCAAATACATCAAGAGAAGAGGTATTAAGGGATAAACAACATGCCGAGAGAGATGGCACAAAATAAGAGAACCGAATTGCGTTGAGTAGTGAAGGTACACGGACAAGCAGGCGAGAAGAACAAAAGAAGTACGGTTGTAGTACAAGATAAAATCAGAAGACTGACAAACGAGCAGAGTAAAAAACTAAAGATCTGTAAAGAAACCATTTACCTGCTACTTGCAACTTGTACGATGCATTTTGGCTCCAAAAATCATCGAAATTGACAACGCAAGTGTAATACCATGCATCCTCAGTAGATACTTTGTAGATCACGTGGGAGAACTTATGGTGAAGAAATTTGAAATGCTCATCATAGGAAAAATTGGCGGTCTTAAGGGTCCGCTTGGTGTCTTCTCGTATCCACTTTGCAGCAGCAAACAACCTCGTGTTTTTTAATCCAGCATGATAATTTTGCTTCCTCGCCAACGGTAAAGGACATATTTTCTGTTTCGATGTAAACATCTGGTGGTTTCAAAGTCCCGATTCGTTCGTTTATCCCAGGTTTTATAAATGACGTCTTCTCTTCACTTGACATTGAATTTGAATGAAGTAACTTACAAATTTCAGAGAAAAAGTTAATCCTAACTTCTCCTAAATTGTCTGAATTCCACAAAAAGCAACGAAACCTACCGCAACGTCCGTTTTGGCTCCAGTAAAACAGTTATTTTATCCTACGATGTCATAACGCCCAGTCTCGCATTTACCATTCGTCACCCCTAAAACTGATTGAGAACGGCATTGACAACATCGATCTTGGAGAAGTAACAAACGTGCAGGCTTTCGAGAGAAAATAATTACCGGTCGATCAGATTTTTGTATTAACTGCCCTTTGCAATATAATAGAGCAAGTCAACGAATGAAAGGCTATTCTGTACTTCTATATATTTTGCTAGACTTTACAATCCGTTTGATTCTGTACATGGAGAGAGCCGCTTATGGAACATCATGTCAGGAGTATCTCGGCAGAGCTGAAGGCAATGTACAACAACTCCGAATGCGTTACGACATTGTGAGGCCAGAGGGGAAGAGAAGGACTGGACAACCAAACACAACATGGAGGAAAAACGTAACAACAAATGGCAGTAGACGGAAAACGAATGCAAAGATTTATGTGTCTTATGGCATGACGAGATATGGATGAACAGGGGTACTGAAATTCGCGTTTGGAGAACTCTATCTTTCGCGAACAAAAAAAAAAAATGAACTCAGAAAATCGTCTGCCCCCTTTGCAAGGTAGACCCTCTCTTATCCCTGTTTTCTAAATCCCCCAGCGTCGGTTAATAATGAGTTGTAGCAAAACAATGAGGTCATCAATTAACTGATACTAGTTGAAGAGTATTTGTTATAATGAGTGGCACTGATATCCTTACAAACTTATTCATTTTCATATAGCAAATTACCAAATTAAAGCCGGTCTCGATAAATGACCCGTGAGAGATGAGAACGCATTACCTTTACCATTGTTATTGTTAAAGGAGTTTCCAGATTCAGGGAAATTAAGGCCATCGTTTGTAGCATGTTGTCCACCCTCACACGAAATAGCACAGTTGCACAGTTGCACAGTTGCCTACAACATGAGAACTGAGGTTAGTCACAAGAATTATTAAGTAAGTTTAACTATAAATAAAATATTGTGTGAATAATAGCGACGGATATCATTCGTCCTCGGGTCCACGCCAAATTTGTTTTCCGTCGTTGCGCAAACGGCCGCTAGTCAATAGAAGTAAACGTCAATAGAAGTATGAGTTAAGTTATGATGTACATGTAGTTTTCATTATTACCTTTGCAAACAGCAACTGTTTCGTTCGAAACATTGCAGCTACTTGATGTCTGTTTTTCGAAAAAGTCACATGTGTTGTTATTTTCTTGATTGGAGACACAGGAATCATTTCCAACAAGTTTATCTCCCTGAAGAATAGCTTCTGCTTCAGGAAATCCCTGAATGCGGCAGACTGCATGAGCCATGTTAATGTCCCAGGCTGAATGGCAAAGCGGCGTCCAATTGCTAGATATGTTGATCTCAAGCTTGACTTTGGACCAGAATTTGGGATAAGGTGAAATACGTACTTTGTAGGCTACAATGGTAGAAATAGTAGGTAATAAAGAACTTCAATCTGCTAAATGTGTATCTTATATATAGCTCATGGGCACGACAGGACAAAAAGCTTTCTTTATTTTTCGGGAACTCAACAGCTTAAGAAGAAAAATCACAGTAATAAATGCCATTAAGAATTTCGTACAACGCTCTTAATTAAAATTTTGGCCAAATTAGCTTCACCTGAACAAACTCTGAGTGCGTACGCATGTGCAACAACCACGGGCGCGTGTACCAAAAGCGCTCTTATCTGC